ACCAAGGCGTACCGGTCCACTAGCACGGCGGCCTTACCGGTGCTGGCTGGCGTCCTCCCTGCTGACCTGGAGGTCATTCGTGCTGGTAGGATGGGTTTGGAACGCTTGACCGCGCCCAGAGAGGAGTTGAGCAGACGAAAGCGCGATATCTGGACTGAGGTGATTGGCGTATGGCAGAATCGATGGGAAAACGAAACGAAAGGACGTGAGTTATATCGATTTTTCCCGGAGGTGGCGGTGAGACTCAGGTATACCTGGGTCTCACCGGACTATCAAACATCCCAGATTCTCACTGGACATGGATGTTTTCGGAAGAGACTGCATGACATGCGACTGTGTGAAACCAGTATGTGTGAGTGTGGTACGGCAGAGGAGGATGTTCACCATGTCCTATGGGAATGTCCTCTGTATGACGATCTAAGAGCGAAAGTGTTGGATGGGCTGGTTCGAACGGTTCAGGGACCGATTTACTACTCGGATCTCGTCAGCGATGGGGTGAACTACGGGCTGTTGCGTGAGTTTGCGCATAGGTGGCACGATCGCAGGAGAAGGCAGGAAAGGATGCTGGTAGGAAGGCCCGACGACGTAGGCGTTATTGTGCCGTCAGCCCCAGAAGGGGGAGAATGACGTTAAACTGGGACAAGGAACAGAATAAATATTTGTAGGGAGTCAAGAAAGTGCGCGCGGGAAAGAGCAAGGTGCAAGTACCGCGCGCATCTCCCGAGATTAGGCCCGTATGACCTGAGGGTCGGTGGGGCCATGGGAGGTGGTGGGTTGTTCCCATCTCTGGGCTGGGGCTCCCCAGTACCAGCTCCTTCAACTTGACCGCATCCAGCGCAGAGCGGCTCGAATCGTCGACGACCGAGTGCTTTCCGATCGGCTCGATTCACTGGCACTGCGAAGAGATGTTGCATCTCTTTGCATTTTCTTTCGCATATACCATGGAGAGTGCTCTGAGGAATTGTTCGGATTAATCCCAGCCGCCAAATTTCCTGAACGCACTACGCGGCAAACGTCCCGATACCATCCACACCATCTGGATGCTTGGCGGTCCACCACTGTACGTTTCAAGTTTTTTTCCGCGTACAACCTCTCTGTGGAATAGTTTACCACCAGCGATTTTTCCGGACCGATACGACCTGGGGACCTTCAAGAAAAGAGCTTACTCCTTTCTAAAGGGCCGGCAAAGCACTTGCAATTCTCCTGGAGTTGCGGTTGATCATGGGCGGCGGTAGTCACTTAACATCAGGTGAGCCGCATGCTCGTTTGACCCCTCTTCTATAAAAAAAATCTTCAGCTCTATGTGCAATCTAGTATTACCGACCTTAACGATAATATTCATAAACTCAACCACAACCTCGATGCCATAAGAGATTGGTCGTACATACAAGGTGTTTTGGTTAACCCAACCAAATGCAAAGCAATGGTTATAGGTAGTAGCAGAATGTTAGCTAAGATTAATAACGATAATCTTGCTCCCGTATTTTACAATGGAACGTTGTTGCCATTTTGTAAGTCTGTCAAAAATCTTGGCTTACATATAGACCATACCTTGAGCTGGGGAGTTCAAGTTGCTGGAACAAGCCGTAAAGTAACTGCCACCTTACGTTCTCTTTGTCGTCTCAAAAACTTTCTGCCTTTTAAAACTAAACTTCTGCTAATTCAGGCTTTGATATTACCCATTATTGATTATGCGGATGTGTGTTACCCAGATCTATCTCAATATTTTCTCGATAAGTTGGAGCGCCTTCTCAACAATTGCATTAGATTCATTTTCGGCTTACGTAAGTATGACCATATTTCCCAGTACCGAGCCTAGCTTAAATGGCTCTCTATTCGTCAAAGGCGTAGCTCCCGAACTTTGCAAATACTACATTCAATTTTAAATGACCCCAATTCTCCCTCTTATCTTAAGGATAACTTTCAATATTTATATTCTACTAACTATAGGGATCCCCGTTCTCAAAATTGTCTTAAAATTCGTATTCCACCACATAGGAGTGGTTTCTTTAATTCCTGTTTTACTGTGCAGTCTATACTGCACTGAAATGCCTTGCCTGTTTATATCAAGAAAACTAATGAGAATTATTTTAAAAGACTAGTTCGAGAATTCTGTCGTAAGAATAATAACACCTGATTATCCGATTATTGTTTTTTTTTTCTCTTTGTTTTTATATGTATTGTGTTATTTTATTTTTTGTCTCATAATATTTTATTTACTTATAATTTTTTATAGAAGTACTGAGATGTATTGAACAAAGGAAACAACCGTTTAGTAGCGAGGCTAGTTTATTACTGGCTGTGCTGCGCACGCGCAATACATGTCAAGTACCCGTTTATATATTTATTATTTATCCTACTGTATATTTTACTAACTATATATCTATTATATTCATTTGCATTTTATTTTGTTTTATATCGTTATTATTTATTTATGAAGTGATTGACACCTGCCACAGTTTCTCAAATCATCCAGGGTTGACTGGCAGAGAATGCCATAAGGCATTAAGTCCGCCCTTTATACCCCTTAGTATATAAGATGTGTAATAAAGATTAAATAAATACCTAGGCTGAACTAAAAGTATCGGGAATGGAATATTTCCACTGTTCCTGTCATATTAAAATCTTTTTAATTGAAAACTCCTTGGATTTAAAAATCTAATACCATTTATTTATTTAAAAAAAATTCTCGGTCTTGTCACAAGTTTGGTCAAACTTGTTTAGTCGTTGAGAAAATGGAATTGACTCGAGAAAATTTAAGAGTAATGATTTATTATGACTTTCGAAGTGGTTTAACACAAAAAAAGTGCGTTGACCGGATGATTTCTGCATTTGTTGATGAAGCCCCATCCAAAACCACAATTTATCGCTGGTTTGCTGAATTTCAACGTGGACGTGTCAAGCTCAGTGATGATCCCCGTCAAGGTCGTCCAAAAACGACCCACCCAAGAAAATGTTAATGCTGTGCGTAAGCTGATTGAGGAAGATCGACATGTGACATACGGCGAAATTCAGGCAACTTTAGACATTGGCATGAGTCAAACACAAATAATCTTGCATGAACAATTAGGTGTAAAAAAGTTGTTTTCCCGATGGATACCGCATTCGCTCTGTGAAGAGCAAAAAGCGGCTCGCGTTACTCTATGCGTCAGAACTCTCGAAAGATTCCACGCAGGATCCTCAAATGCTGTATACAAAATCGTATTAGGTGACGAATCCTGGATATACGCGTACGAACCCGAAACAAAGAACCAGTCACGAGTTTGGGTGTTCGAAAATGAGTTAAAGCCAACAAAAATTGTTCGTTCACGGAGTGTTGCAAAAAAAATGGTGGCCACGTTTGTCTCCAAAACCGGCCATGTTACGACTACTCCTCTTGGGGGACAAAGAACTGTTAATGCAGAATGGTATGCTAGCATTTGTTTGCCACAGGTCGTTTCTGAACCCCGTAAAGAGAACTGCAACCGCCGCATCATCCTCCATCACGACAATGCGAGTTCTCATACCGCACACAGAACAAAAGAGTTTTTAGAGCAAGAAAACATAGAATTATTAGATCATCCGCCGTACAGCCCCGACCTAAGCCCAAATGATTTCTATACTTTCCCTAAAATAAAGAATAAATTGCGTGGACAGAGATTTTCATCACCTGAAGAAGCTGTGGACGCCTACAAAACGGCCATTTTGGAGACCCCAACTTCTGAATGGAATGGTTGCTTCAATGATTGGTTCCATCGTATGGAAAAATTTGTCAAATTTCGCGGAGAATACTTCGAAAAGCAATTAATACATTTTTAAATAGTAATGTTGTGTCACTTCTTTGATTCCCGAAATGTTCAGTGCCGCCTTCGTAAATAAATAAGTAAGGGTATAACAAAATGAACGTACTAATTAGTAAACTGGATAAGAAAAGTTTGTAGACATCCAAAAAAAAAAAGTACGCGGGAAATTACCCTCGAGTATGTACCTCGTGCTCCTCCAAACATTGGTCCGTATAAACGGATGGTTGAAAGGACTAAGAAAGGTGGTGGTACACGGTAAGTACACGACTACGCCTCGCGGCAGAGCCGATGTATTAGTGTAATAATTTTATCGTGTAGCAGCCTCGAATGAAATGATAACCTGGTAAGATATGCAGAAACTCGATGAAATCAGGTGGTTTAGGACCGTGCTTTGGGGTATTCCTTGGGAGAAGTCTATGTTTTTATTAAAAATGAGCTCACTCTTGACTTCCATCTGGTCCGAGGACAAAGATAAGGTCTACCATGGAGCAAATTTGCCCAGGAGAAGCCTGTTAGCACGCACTTTGGATAGATTAAGGTTATATGCATTTGGAATAACAGACGCCGGCAGGACATTCCACTCCTTGGCTGGGCGCATTATGAAATATAACTTATAGCCATACTCTGAATATCACCAGTGTGAATGGTAACCTGCAGTACGTCTACGATATACTCGGTACTCCGATAGAAGAATAAAAATGGCGTTATGAGCTTATGAAGCTCATAGGCACACTGTCCGAAGTGCAATCAGAAGACCGACAAACAAGCAACTTGGCGGCGGTGAGCTAAGCTGTAGAACTTTGTTTCCTCCAGCCATTTTTGCCGATTAGCCTTATGGCTCTGCATTACACTGAGTCGAGTACGGCAAGGTGATATTTTGCTAAACCATCCCAAAGGTGATCAGCAGTGAACTGGTGAAGGGCTATAATTATGATGATGATAATAGATAAGTACAACATAAATCACAATATATCTAATGTTGTTGCCCTGAGGTAAAAAATAGAAGCCCTAGGATACTACTAGAACTCTGTATTTTTAAATGTTTTTCTTCTAGATTAAAACCGTTACCCTCTACTTTTATAACATTCGTTGGCCATATTATAGAAAGTCTCTCTCTTGTGACTCTGGATTTCAGACTATAGTTTCTGCAGGATGTCCTGACTGTACTTGTTCCTGTTCTCTGTTCCTGCAGAACGTTTCAACAGCTATTGGCCTCACCCGTGTAGCGGATCCAGCGCTAGACCGTGCAGCTTGGCGAGTCCATCCATCAGCAGGCGGCAGTAGTGCGCGCTCGCGTCGCATACGTACAAGGCCTCGCGCGCCTCGTCGTACACGTACCAGTTGCCTGACACCCACTCGATGGCGAGGTGGTTCACCGCTGCAACCATACTCCACGTCTACACAATGTTTAACACGCACACACACAGGCGCGCACAAGTACGCACGCACGCAAGCCCGCGTACGCACTCGCGCGCACCTCTTTTATATATCAAACAAGGCAGCCCTCAGGACAAATAAACGACAAAATCGAGGATAGATGTGATGTCTATGGGCCACAGCATCCACTTACCATCAGATGAACTATGTCTGTCACTCTTGTTCTATAAAAAATCAAAATCCAGTTCAAATCGTTATTTAAGCAATAGTACAGTAGTAGCAATCCGCCGCCGGTGAAGTTCCCGCCAAAACCCAATAAGGATCTGGTAGGGGCCGATAATAGGTAAAAAATTGGTGTATGTGGAGGAGTTCTTTTCATCGTACGTAGTAGCTATAATATGGTTGTAGCACGAATAGTCCGGCTCCACCGGGGGTAGGTACACACTCACAGAAACCCAGAGTACAATAGTAGCTCAATGCTGCTGCGTTTTGTATGGTGAGTGCAAAGAACCAGAGAACCTTTTCACTGGAAACAAAGCAATCCATCTTAGTTTACAACGGCAAATATCATAGTAAAGTATTCATCTAGATGTAAATTAGTTAAAACATTGATAATTAGTAAATAATGATCTTACTAATGAAATGTTATGTCTTTATTAGTTGAATTACACATCCTTGACGAGTTTTTTACTACTGATTATGCTGCAGTTCACCATTATAATAACATAAATTCACGTACGACGTTCCCCGCGCAACTAAATCACAAAATGGTGAATGATGACAACGTATCTGTATTTTGAGTCTTAATTAGTAAATATCTACGTTGCACAGCATCCACTTAACATCAGGGAGACTGTGTGCTCATTTATCACTCTAATTCTGAAAAAAAAAACACCAAATTATAAAGATGTTAAAAGTTAATAAGAATATAATAAAAATAATATCCGAGTAATACAACAAAATGATGAATCTTACCTACCATTTTATTTCATAACTTATGAAATGTTAAATTTTAAAATCTACTCGTATAATAATGAATTTGTGCAAAGTAACGCCTGAATCCATTTAACAACTATAGACTCATCAACTATAGATCATGTCCATTGCTGGAAATACCTCCCCCTCATAGATTGGCCCATGGATTTCAATGGTAGTTGGCACACTTGGCAATCAGGTTGGCACCGCAGGTTTTTACTAATTTGAGCTGTTATTAGAACAAGCTGTACATCTCCTCCTGTTTCAGTTTCCCTTTTTAGCTTCTTACGATCCCACGGGAGGGTATGGGTTAGGGTTATTCTTACTCCGCCACTACCTCGCAATTCATAGAAAATTTAACTAATTGTGTCCTTAAATTATTAAATTAATAATTGATTTAATGTTTTGAGAAACTGTGAAAAATAAAAATAAAACGTGTGCAGTTCACACGCAGTACAAGTGAATCCTTCAGTAAACTAAACCGACAGCCGAATGCAGAGTATCAAGAGTAGGGTTATAGTTAAATACTGTATACTGTACTCTACTCGTATCTCATTTCCTCGCAGGCTAAATCCTATAGATGTATATGTTTGTCTCTTTTTATAGTCGCTTTTCCGTTTCATCGAATTTCAAATCACAACGATTCTAAAGAAGTTCACTTCACTACATATTAGAAAAAGTACGTACAATCAACATCAGGAAATAAATTCGGAGTGGGGAGGAGCAGGCTGTAGTTCGTCATGTTGTCGGCCGACACGCACGCGATGCTCGAGCGGCTCACGTTCGTGTGCACGTAGCAAATTGATCTGCACATACGTAAATATAATTCATTCAAACATTAATTTATTATAGCTTTTTAAAAGAGATAAAAAGCTTATCAAAAGTCTATTACTGAATATAGGGAATGGTTTAAAAAAAAGTGTAAGTATTAATTTAAGAATGCTTTGTTTCGTATAGTGAGTGTGCGTTTCTCTAACCGCAACCCCTTTTTACTGGATACGAGACATTCCATCTTACTCTTCAGGGTGTCGACGCGTTTGTCACCTTAATTCTATAAAAAAAGTAAATACAAAAGGATAATAATAGGTAAAACGGTAGCATGTAACCAATCGTCACAGGAACCAGACAAATAGTTAACCGCACTTCACCAGCACCTAATAATTCACAGATATAAAATTCTCTTACGCCGTCACCATACGACGGATGTAAACATGTTAAATTAATATTTACAAAATTATATTATCTACAACACAGCACATAAGGCATTATAAAATAACAAAAAAATATGATAAAAGTTTTATACAAGTAACTCTTTCAATGAAATGGTACTATCACCACCTACCACCAGGTTGACTGTGGTCGAGCACTGGCTTATAATAAGTGTAAAAATGACATTATGGTTTTTTCAGACAGCGGCTCTATCGACAAGATCGAACTTTTCAAAAAAATGTCTGCATATCGCACGCAGCATCAAAAGTTTAATTATTTAAATACGACTACACCCAGGCAAGGATTCTACGACATATACACAAATGTGAGCAGCAAAAAAAAACATTCCTGATTCCGCACTTGACTGAGTGAGCCAAAGGATACATTGTCTGAATTTAGATCAGCATTAACAATAGCGTGTCTATCTGTCTCTCTCTCTCTCTCTCTCTGTATCTCTCTCCCTCCCTCCCTTTCTTCTTCCCTCCATCCCTCCTAGGCATTCGGGCACTATAATATTGTCCTACGCAGGTGGCTAGTCTCCGTTGAGACTGGCTGTCGTGACCGAAATTTGATCTGACATTATTATTATTACCTGTTGTCGTAGAGGAAGTCTATCGCGCGCACGTTGAGCGCATCGCGAGCTGCCACCGTGATGTTGCGACCGTGGGCAAGCGAAGCCCATATGCGCTCCACTCCTGCCTGGGTACCAACAACCAGCGACAACTCCTCACCGGGGGGATCTGCACGCATACAGTTTCATGCTGGATGTATTCCTATTTTAAATCCACTATGACGAAGTTTAAAAAAATGTAATAAGCTCAGGGGGGTTTTAAAAAAGACAAGGATTCAGTTTTGAAAACAGCAGGTAACATACTAGGTGGTAGGACTGTTTTTTTGATAAGAGTTTGACTTCGCAAACTGGGGCTATCAGCCTATTTTACTTGGTTGTACGACCCATTTTATACCATACCGCAGAGCGGTTCGAATTGTTGACGACTGAGCTCTTTCTGATCGTCTTGAGTCACTGGCACTGCGAAGAGATGTTGCATCTCTTTGCGTATATTATCGCATCAACCACGGAGAGTGCTAAATTCCATTATTGTACATCGCGACAAAACTTGCCATACCATCCATACGATCTGAATGATTGGCAGTCCACTACTGTGGGATTTACAAAAACTTTTCTTCCTCGCTCAACTTCCTTGTGGAATTGACTACCACCAGCGATTTTTCGGGACCAATACTACTTAGAGACCTTCAAGGAAAGAGCCTACTCTTTTTTTAAAGGCCGGCTACGCAGCTGCAATTCCCTAGGTGTTGCAGTTGTTCATGTGCGGCAGTTGTCACTCACCATCAGGCGAGCCGCGCGCGCGGTATAGGGAGTCAGTATAATTACAGGCTGTGAGGGATTCCATCACGGTTTTCAGAGTGAAAACTTGTGGCGGCGCTGTCTTAACAAGTCTTAAGAGGGCCCTTCCCGGCCCGTCTATCGTCAACGCGAGTATGGTTGAAAAGCTTGTTGTTTCATCCAGCGCAATGTTAGAAAAAGAGGCAAAGCGAAAAGAGAGAGATAGCGCCTGAGCGCTCGGTTAGCATTCGGTAACTTTTGCCGCTCACTCGCGGGCGGTAGACCGCTAGTGAGCCATTCATGACAATAATATTGAATCGCACGCGCGCGTCTCGCAACTATGTCCTCGCGTACGCATAGCCATAGTTTTGTAAATTTCTCTGCATACAGGACAGGTGTATACCTACATTTAGTACCGTATTACTTTATTATATTACATGCTTTGTCTAGTACGGACGTAACGCTTGGCCTCGGAGATTTATTTGTGTAGTATCTTTACCAATCTATGTACCGTGCCTGCGTTGTTGTTGACGATATGGAAATTATTTATAACATACATTAGCTTTTTCTTATTTCATATTGGTAACGCCAGTTAACAAACTACTTTATCAACATTACATTACATATCGCATTGAGTTCGTCCTAAGTCATATCTACTTTATCAACATAATGAAATGCCTAGTGCATATTTGATTCCTTCCTTCCTTCCCTTTCCTACCGCACGCGCTGCCGCCGAGGTAAAGAAAAGGATCTCGGCGCGCGTCGTTATTAAGTGACATTACGTTCTCCGTGATCGCACGGCCAGCCGTCGCGTCTTAGATATATTAACCGCAAATCGCGCAGGACGAACATTGAGTTCTCCTGTTTATGTTTAATATTCACCGCATCAGACATTGTGTCTTTGTAACTCATAAAAGTGTGAGACGCCCCCGTAAGGGCAAAGGTCGAGAGTGTGGGACTTCACGAAACTGTTCCGAGAGTGCGTGTGCGCCGAACCACGTGGCGGGCCCGCTGTATAGCAGACACTCCAGGAGAAAGGCGAGGCAGCCCTCATCAGGTCAGTGCGTGCTATCCCACCTACTTATTTGCCCCTTTGTCGTATGCACCAAAAATTAAAGTCCACTAAATACTTAACGAAGATATCTTAAGTTACTGGCGTCTCCACATATATACAAATACCTCATGGACGAACAAAGAAAGTCAGACAAATTTTCGCTAGTAAAAAAACTGTAAACACATAAAGCTAGACATTTCCAGTTATAATGGTCTCGATTTGTATCAATTTCCCGCACAATGAGAGATCCGTATAAACTGGTTTTTTAAAATGGTCGTCGTGCGTACAAGCCCGGACACATTCACACATTAGTCAGCCATTACAGGCGCAAACGTCAATACTCACACATAGACCAGACTCAGTTTTGTTTAGCAGGGAGTTCCGTTCGACTTTTTTGTTCGTCCATCATATACCTAAATACAGCACAAAAAGTAAAGGTAAATGATTTATTCTGCTTAGGGCTAGTAGGAGCAGAATAAATACTTTATCTATCCAGTTTGTCTATATTAGTATTGTATTAGAGGATGCGGAAATTAGGTACCGTAGCTAATTATTTAACATGTAGGTACGTACCGTATGTAAATGACTACAAATGTATGTTTGTATAGGTACTAATTTGTACCGTAGTACAGGCGGTTGATCAAATAAAGTAGTCTAAGTACAGTTGGGTAAATATCAATTTTTATTCTAAAAAGCTTTGTCACATTTTATAAACAATACATAAAACAACCCAATTATCGAAAAGATTCCGTTTTCCGAACACAAACAGTTTTTAAACTGTCAGAAGTGATTGAAAATTTAGAAATAATTTAATTATTGTCATCTAATACAGTCAATCATCGAGTCTATCTCTCATTGGCAGTTTGCGTGGGAAACGTGAGTCAATAATTTCTGTTGTTCACAACACTAAACCTTTCGCAAGACAAAGCAGTGTCCAATATAAAAAAAACAAGACCGTTGTAGTAGGTAAAACAGAATTCACTAAAATTAAAATACAACAGCACATTCGCGTACGCGCAGTCAATAAATTCTATACCTGCTAACAACTCCGAGAGGCCCGAGGGCCGAGCGTCATTCAACTCCCCCCGTCTCACCCTGCCCCAACCCCGCACGACTCGTCCTCCGCATACCTCACCACCACTTGACTAACAAGCAAGTGAGAATGCGATAACATTGAACGAAAAATAGTGTGCGGAAATTTCATAAAACTTGTTCCAGGAAATACGTGTTTTTCAGTAAGCTTTAAAAGTTTGTGAAATAAATGTTTGTGATTTAGAAACTCGATTACATTTGCGAGGATTCTATCAAAATATTTTCATTGGTTTTACTATTTATGAGTACATTATGAACGGCCAAAATTCAGGTAATTTTGTGCAAAAAAGCAGATTTTTGGAGGCTTATACCGAATTTGTTTCTCCAAATGTTGATTATTTGTTTTGATAAAAACCTAGCTATAGTGCACAGATACTATTAGTTAAAATATACATGAATAATTCCAAAAAAATATATATATAGAATACTTCAACTTTATCGGCGCTTTTTAAAGTTGAAGGCTACAACGAGTATCCCCGCCTGTTAACCAATATATGAAGGCCTATATTCAGCAGTGGACTAGCTGTAATGAGTACAGAAAGAGTTTTAGTGTACTCATATCTCTCTGCACTTACCTTCGATGGATCACAATTACGTATTAATAACACCTACTAGTTAGCACAAGTAAAACTCCCAAAACTGATTGTGCATGATATATGTACCATTAATAGCATCGCATGAGGATCCATCTGGCTGCAACGCGTACCCCGCCACGCACCAACACGTATAAGAGCCGTCTGAGTTCGAGCAACGTTGCGCGCATGTGTCTTCACGCGCACATTCGTCACTATCTGTAGGAGTTGAATAAACATTTTTTATGCTGATAAAAGACAGAATATAGTCAGCAAATAGATATACCTTCCTTACAGGTTTTTATTTAATTGTACTTTTGAGATCATTCGTATAGGTGGGTAATTTCACTTTTTAGTATATTTAGTAATTTGACGTCGTAGGGAGAAATAATCTTAATCGTCTTACCAATTTATGTATACAGGGTCATTTTGCAATAATTGGCCAAATTTGCAGAAAAGGTACAGAACAAGTAGTAGAGGCAAATGATCAAGAAAAATTAATTGAAAAAAAATCTCAAACATTCTCCCCTTTTTATTTTTTAAATTCAAAATGCGTGGTAATGCATTATTTTAACTGATTTTACTGCGCACGCACACATTCGTAAGGGTGGGTCAGTAGGCATAAACATTGTTGTCCCATAAATCACATTCAATTTGGGATAGTTTCAAATAAAATTAGAAGCTTTATTTACACGTATTTTCAAAAACTGCAATAACGGTATATCAATATTAATATATGTATTTGAACTTAAGTTTAAACTGTGGCCACTTTTTGAAAAATAACCCTGTATATTTGATCATAGGTTTCAAATTTGGTTACTCTTTGAAAAATATTTTCCGTATATTTTAATGTACGAAAATGGGGGAGGAGGGGAGGGAAATTTTTCGTCAGAGCGAGTAGCAATCCATGCTACGCCACTGCATATATGAGTATGATTAAAGAAAAAAAATTTCAATGTTTCTCATGTCAAAAAATTTCAAAAATTCAAAAAAAATCAAAATGATTTCTTATATTTACGCGAACACTACACATTGAAATAATACTAATTTTTACGGAATTTATCGCGTATATTTAACTTTTTTACCCGACGTTTCGAGAGCTTTACAGCACCCATGGTCACGGGAAGGACTGAGATGTTCAACGTCCAGCTGTCATAGTTAACCGCGGTTACCATAGATTAAAATTAGTAGATCGGAACAAAAGTTAAATTTTAATCTATGGTAACCGCGGTTAACTATGACAGCTGGACGTTGAACATCTCAGTCCTTCCCGTGACCATGGGTGCTGTAAAGCTCTCGAAACGTCGGGTAAAAAAGTTAAATATACGCGATAAATTCCGTAAAAATTAGTATTATTTCAAAATCAAAATGGGTCTACACAGAAAAATCTTCATGGATACTTCCTTGATCTGAATTCCGATGAAAGCGAGTTTTTGTGCAAATTAAAATGTTAGCTGTCTGCGCAATAAACGACATAACAGCGCTCAAGCTGTTTGCCGATTATTATATATTGAAGTGGAATGCTTACCAACACACTGTCCATCGCGCGGCTCGTAGCCCTCGGGACAGAAGCAAGCGAGTCCCTGGTGCGTGGGCCTGCAGCCGTGGGCACAGCCTAGCGGCGCACACTGCGCCTTCGTAACTGTAAAAAAATCATTCACATTACAATCATTAAGTAAGAATTGAACGTGGTACAGATATGGCCGTGTAGTGGCGGTTAAGAATATCCACTACCCCATATCTTCCCGTGGGTGTCGTAAGAGGCGACAGAGGGAGACAGGCAGGAATTGGGCAGCAACATCTTCTTGATAACAGCAACAGTACAACAAAAAAACTGCGGTTGCCGACCCGCTCACCAAGTGTGACTTCTATGGCAATATAACCCCCGTGAAGAATTACACCAATAGACTGCCCCCCAGTCCCCGGCGGCCCCGCTATTCCTGATTACGGTGGCGACCATGGTAACGGCGGGGCCAGGGGGTGCTAAGAATCTCGACGACTCGACCTGACAACTCTTGACTCGACCTGGCAACATTTAACGCACGCACTCTGAGGACTGACGAGAAGATCCTGGAGCTGGAAGAAGAGATACGACAAGTTGCGCTGGAATATTATAGGATTATCCGAGGTCCGAAGAGAGAGGGAGGACACGGCGATTCTCGAATCCGGCAACTTGTTCTATCACCGGGAGGGCGACCATCTGTCCCAAGGAGGTGTTGGATTTATCGTCGACAAGTTTTAAAGACTGGAAGTATATCGACGAGAGTTGCGTACCTTATACTCAGAATCACCAAACGGTATTCGCTGAAGGTCATACAGGTTTACGCGCCAAAGTCGAAACATCCCGATGAGAAGGTAGAGGAAATGTATGAGGATATTTCTAGAGCCATGCATTCCTCCAAAACTCACTATACGTTGTTAATGGGAGACTTCAACGCAAAATTGGGCACAAGAAAGAACGGTGAGCTGAAGGTAGGGAAATTTGGCATAGGGCAACGGAACCGAAGGGACCAGCAGCTGGCCGACTTCATGGAGAAAGAGGGAATTTTTTATGATGAACTCTTTCTTCCAGAAGCGGCCCCACAGAAAGTGGACCTGGTCGAGCCCCGACGGTTCGACAAAAAATGAGTGATGTCTCAGTGATCGCAAGGCTGAAAACTGGCAGCGATCACCGAATGGTTAGAGGCACACTGAACCTGAACGTTAAGTTGGAGAGGTCAACGCTCCGTCCTCCGCGTGCTCTAATCGAGAATCCCGAAACCTTTTAGGTCGAGTTAACGTAACCACTTTCAGTGCCTAGAAGATTGCAATACAGTTGACGATATGAATGACAAGCTCGTGGAAACTGTCCATGCGGTCGGAGCTAAGTTCTGCAAGACCCGCCGCGGAAGAACACAAAAACTCTCCCATCACACTCTTAATCTCATGGCTGTTAGACGGGAGATGAGTCTGCAATCGTCAACAGATTTGACAGCATACAGGCAACTGAACAGACAGATCTCCAAATGCATACGGCGAAACTTACGCAATTTTAATACTGCTCGTATTAAAGAAGCGATCGAGCGGAACCAGAGCTCCAAAGTCTTTGCCAGAGATCTGTCTGCCAGAAAGAGCCAAATGTCAAAGCTGAAGACTGAGTGTGGCAGCATCGTTTCCGGGACACCTGAGATTTTGAGTGAGATTGAGAGGTTCTATGGGCAGCTGTACACATCTTCGTTGGATCCACATGCAAGTGTGAGTAACAATTCAAGAGCAAGTCTTATCCGACACTATTCCGATGATATCCCGGACGTCAGTCTGAGCGAGATTAGAATGGCTCTCCAGCACCTTAAAAACGGCAGGGAGCAGAGAGGCGAGGATGGAATTACAGCAGAAAGCGGGTGGAACACCGGTACTTGAAGTCCTTCAGAAGCTCTTCAATTCCGTCCTCCATGGTGACACTACTCCGGAGGCGTGGAGCAGAAGTGCAGTGGTCTTGTTCCTTAAAAAAGGTGACAACGCTCTCTTGAAGAACTACAGACCGATTTCCCTTCTGAGCCGCGTCTACGTGCTGTTTTCGAGATTCATTACGAATCGTCTCGCACGCAGACTCGACGACTTCCAGCCTCCGGAACAAGCCGGTTTCCGAAAAGGCTTCAGTACCATAGACCACATACATACCCTGCGGCAGATTGGACAGAAGACCGAAGAGTACAATCTGCCACTTTGCCTGGCGTATGTGGACTATGAGAAAGCCTTTGATTCCGTCGGAATTTGGGCGGTGCTACAGTCCCTTCAGCGGTGCCAAGTTGACTGTCGGTATATCGAAAAGCTGAAGTATTTGTACAGTAGGGCTATGATGGCTATCCGAGTACAGAACCAGAGTTCGAAACCTATCCAACTGCAGAGAGGTGTAAGACAGGGTGACGTTATATCCCCGAAACTCTTCACCGCTGCGTTGGAAGACGTTTTCAAGCTACTGGACGGGATAGGATACGGTATTAACATCAATGGCGAGTACATCACTCACCTTCGATTTGCCGACGATATAGTCCTTATGGCAGAATCGCTGGAGGACCTTAGCACTATGCTCATTGGGCAATGGTTGGGCAATGACCCAACGGATAGGTCTTAAGATGAACATGGACAAAACAAAGATCATGCTCAATGTCCATGTCACACCTATGCCGGTAGTTGTTGGGAGCACTATGCTCGAAGTTGTTGACAAGTACGTTTAACTGGGACAAATAGTCCGATTAGGTAAGTCCAACTTCGACCGAGAGGTCAATTGACGGATTCAACTCGGCTGGGCAGCGTTCGGGAAATTACGACACATCTTCTCGTCAGGTATACCTCAATCTCTGAAAACTAGATTGTGCAAACAGCGCGTGTTGCCAGTGATGACTTACGGATCTGAGATTACGTGGTCTTTCACTTCTGGCCGTATGAGGACGTTTAAGGTCGCTCAGCGAGCTATGGAGAGGGCTATGCTCGGAGTTTCTCTGCGTGATAGACTCAGAAATGAGGATATCCGCAGTAAAACCAGAGTGACCAACATAGCCCAACGGATTAGTAAGCTGAAGTGGCAATGGGCCGGCCATATAGCTCGAAGAACCGATAACCGATGGAGAAGAAAGGTTCTCGAGTGGCAGCCTCGTACCGGTAGGCGTAGTGTAGGGCGATCCCCCACTAGATGGATTGACGACCTAGTAAGATATGTAGGAAGTCGATGGATGCAGGTGGCTCAGGACCGTGCTTTGTGGCATTACTTGTGGTAGGCCTACGTTCAGCAGCGAACTTGTGAAGGGCTGCAATGATGATGATGATGAAAGATATGTTGCAGCTATATTCTACTTGTAGCACGACTGTGTCGACTTCACTGAGGCAGGACCACGCTCTCACACTGTACTTGCGTAAAATAGCAGCTCAATACTGCTATTTTTAGAGAACCGGAGACTCTTTTTTACTGGAAACGAGTCATTCCATCTTTGTACTCCGGGGCGACAACGCATCTGCATTTTGATGAATAATCGAGGATAGATGTAGATGTCTATGGTCCAAAGCATCCACTTACCATTAGGTGGAGTGTGTTCTCGTTTGTCATCCTTATTTTATATAAAAAGTAATCGTGTGAGGCGTGTTTGGGCGTCCACTACCCCATATTGTCATTTTAATAGGCGGCAGAGAGGAAATGAGACGGGAGATGGGCAGCATCTTCCAGATAACAAATCATAAGAAACTGCGGTTGCCAAACGTAGCAACTACAGAAAAACTTCCCTTTGAGGCAATCTATATTATCCAGTCATCATTATCAACATCTTCAGCCCGTAAAAGTCTACTGTTGTACATGGGCCTTTCCCTTAGTGCGGAGGATTTGCCTGAATTGTCACTTTTTGCAGGCGTATTCACCAGATGTATCGTTAATTTAATAATAATAATCATGTCCTCCAGACTGAGTTTCGGTCACGGCAGCCAGCCGACGTCAACGGAGACTAGCCCTCGCCCAGGGACAGGATTATAGTGCCCAAGTGTATGCGCAAGCACAGGTGCACTCTCTATTCCTTCATTCTCATTATCCAAAGGGATGATAAACCGACACGACCGGAGAGAGATTAGGCGCAGCACCAACGGCTGTACGTGTTTTCCGAGGCACGGGGGTGAGACACCGCCAACTTTCTGACTATGGGCAGCTACTGAGAATTTCTTGAAAGAAAAACTCAATAATAATTTTTTGGCCTGACCTGAGATTAGAACCTTAGACCTAATCATCAGCAGTCCCACTGCTACAACCACTAGACTAACAAGGCAGTAGTCCCATTACATCTGGTGTAAAAGATATGGTCATTCCACCATTTACCAGATGTCATATGATTTTTCTAGAATTTCCCATAATGGGTTGATGGATTCTGTTATGTCTAGGGATACCATATGTCAGGATTTGTTCTGGCATGTCAGGACGTTTGAGCTTTTGTCGAGAATGCGGTCGGATTTCAGATATGTCAGGCTTTTCAATACTTGAATGATCTTAACTGCTGGCTAGATGATATACAAATTACAAATACATAAACAAAACTTTGCTATTAGTAAAGCATAGCTTACAGTTGTCGCAGATGTCCCACTCGTCGCTGGCGTCGACGCAGTCGCGTCTCGTGTCGCAGAAGGCGGCGACGGGCACGCACAAGAACCGCCCGCCCAGCGGCGTCTCGCACCGCGCCTCGTTGCCCGGGCAACGGAACTCCTTCTCACCTGTTCAAATATGGTAACAACCAGTACAATTTTTATCAAATTTAGATTACAAGAATACTTATGAAAGTAATTTAAGCATTACCACTGCTACGGAAAAACCCCTATCTTGGGAATAATCAGCTAGAAATCCAGCGGGACTTTTTCTGTACTGTTCAAAAACCTTTCAGAAGTAAGGCAAGACATGTGCAGCAGTCTTCGAACAGTAAAATAATTTGGAAAATCCAAAAATGCCATCCTCTAACGCTAATGTAACGTTTTGAATAAGGGGGCGTCCATAAATTACGTGAGATGTTTAAGGGGGGGGGGGGAGGAGGAGGTTCGTCTTACGTTGGAGAGAGGGGAGGTCTCGGCAAATATCACGCAATTTTTTTTCTTTTTGGGATTGAATAAAATCTCACGACATCTCACCAGGGGGGAAGGAGGGATAGAAAATTTAAAAAACACCCCACGTAATTTATGGACGCCCCCTTTTTTTTTTGATTTGGTGACAATAGAGCAGTAAATCTTCGCTTCGCGTTCAATTGTTCTTTTTTGATCTTATGTTACTGTTCTGTGGCAGTAGGCTATGAAAAGATTTTTCAGATTTTAAATTTTGACAATTTTGTTTTTGATGTAACTACGTCTTGTGTGCAGAGAACTGAAATAAAATCTTCCTGAAATTTTACACGAATAAAGGAGAGAACCATATCTTATCAAACGGAACCGACAAGGAAACATAAAATCATCGGCCTCCAGGATAACGAGACTTATTTAACCAGATTCGTTAATCAAACCATTTTACCATCAAACAGTGTACAGGGACAGTTTACGATCTTTTTCTTAGAATATATTAAAGTAAGACTAATACACCTCTTGTAGGTTTGGCGCGAAATATACAACACTACAGACAGGGTAATAAATAGGTCCACCGAAACACTAGATTGTTATCTCTGGAGGATTGGCGCACGTTATTATTAGTTATTACGTGGTAGAGCCACGCTGTAGCTACATTATGATTATAACTCGAATTGGTCGGCTTGACCATTGGAGTACCATGCTCTCAAAGAATACCAGCGTAAAATAGCAGCTTAACGCTACTATATTTCGTACGGTGAGTGTAGAAAACTGGAACCCTTTCACTGGAAACGAAGCATTCCATCTTAGTCCTCAGGGGGGCCAAATCATCTGCATTTTGATTTTTGGTCGAGGATAAATGTAAATGTCTATGGGCTATGGCATCCACTAACTAAGTAAAATAAGGTGGACTGTGTGCTCGTTTGTCACCCCATTCAAAAATAATAGGAAGAACAATAGATACTTAGAACAGCAATTATTCATTTTAACAAAATCGGCAAACGGGATTGAAAAATATCTCTTGTGGATTGTGGATTACATTTTAAAGCTCGTACCAAAGCCTCTAGTAACTACTAATCTTCTCTACCTATTCTGACATGCCCACAAACACTTGTAAATAAATTTGTTATAATTTGTAATTAAGTTATAGTTAAACTTGATCTGTAACTTAATTAAATCTTTAAAATGTTTAAATGCTAAGACTGAAGAGTCAAATACATTTCTTTGAGTACATTTTTATAAGCCATTCACGTTCCTCAAAGGCGAGAATTTCATTGATATCTTTTTTTATAGGATAGGGTGACAAACGAGCACACAGTCCACTTGATAGTAAGTGGTTGCTGTGGCCCATAGACATCTAGATTTATGCTCGATTACGAGTTGTCACCCGTGAGGACTTAAATGAAATGCCTCGTTTTCCAGTAAAAAGGGTCTCCGGTTCTCTACACTCACCATACGAAATACAGCAGCATTAAGCTATTATTTGACGCTGGTATTCTGTGAGAGCATGGTTCTTCCCCGGTCGAGCCGACCCATTCGTGCTACAACTATACTACTGATATAACTGCAGCATCGCTCTACCACGTATAAAATCTTCTGAGAGGTAAAGACAAAAAGAGAGAGGGAGTGTGTATGCGCGCGTGTGTATGTGTGGTAAGCGATGTGTGGTGTGAGAGGGAGAGGAAGTAAATCAACGTACACATGAAAGGGTTCTCGTCGGAGTCGTCGTGGGGCCCGCAGTCAGCGTCTCCATCACAGCGCCAGCCCGCAGCCACGCACAGTCCGCTGCGCTCGCACCGGAACTGTCCCGCGCCGCAAGTCACGTTCCACGCTGCAACGACACAGCAAACAATATAATGATTTCATAAGTTTACTCCGATTCTTCACAATGAATAAAACTTATAGAATAAGGGTCCATCAGCTGTTTTAATTTCCCTTTGCCGCCTCTTTATCGTCAACTTCGGTTGGAGCAGGTGATGGGCGGCAGCGTCATCCTGATAACAACTCAAAATAATAATAAAAAATGAGTGACAACTCGATCGCCAAGCGGTACAGCTGTGGCAACATATATGAGGTATTTTAAACGGTAGGCCTGCGTTAAGCGGTGGGTCGACTGTAAAGGAAGAATAGAATAAGAGTGGCAAACGAGCACACAGTCCACCTGATGATACGTAGATGCTGTGGCCCATAGATATCCACATGTATTCTCAATAAAAAATCAAAATGCAGTTGCGTTGTCACCCCTGCGGGTTTAAATGGAGAGCCTTGTTTCCAGTAAAAAGGGTTTCCGGTTTTCTGCATTCACCACACGAAACAGCAGCATGAAGCTGCTATTTCACGCTGGTATTCTGCGACAAAATGATCCTCCTGCTGTGATATGTCTGCAGCATCGTGCTACCACTTATTTTAAATTAATTTAATTTCAGATCAATTAAATGCAATACATTTCTTAAAAATTAGGTTTATAAACGTACCTACTGAATATCACAGCTTAGATTTTAGTATCTCTTGTAAAGTAACGTAACCTTTTAATATTTTTTTTTTTAGAAAACACTAAAGTACACAGTAACGTGGGGCGAAGGCGGTAAATTTAGATTTCCTGTGAATTTTAAATAATTCGGGCAAGTACATTTTGAGAATTCTCAAAAATAAAAATATTGAAAAACTGTTTTTTTTTTTAATAACTTTTAAACGGCTTTACCGATCGATTCCAAAAACTAATCAGCTTTTAACCTTGAAAAACCACGTCGATCGCCGCCGGTCCGGTCAAAATCGGCTTATTCGTTCGTGAGATATCGTTAACGAAAATTTTTGAAAAAAAAATGTTTTTTTTTTTTAAATTACTCTGATATTTCACATTCAACGTCATAATTTGGCGAAATTTGGAGGGCTTTGCATTTGAAATTAGCGGAAAGTTTCAGAGATGGCCTGCAGGATCAACCAATTTTTTTTTAAATCTATGCATATAATAAAAATTTCAGATGTCTGTATATTGGATAGTTTTGTGACAATCATGATTGAGGCAGACTAAAATTAAGTAATCTTTAATATAATGGATTTCAGCAAAGCGCCTGCATCATATTTAATAGACGGCTCCGCGACGCAACGCAAGAATAAGTATTTGTCCTTGTGCAATTTATTTAAGTAAACTGCCTCCACGATACAGGATAAAATCCCTGTGTGGAGATAAAATTTTCTTTTAAAGAAAAAAGGAAGAATACTATTAATTATCGTAAAAAGAACAGCTGAGCCTCGTGTAAAGTAAGCGAGTGTGTTGAGGAAATTTAAAAACAGCAAGACTATTAATACTTTAACTTAGTTTAATATATTATCCAGTAAATAGGATCCTCTCATGTGATAGGATCAGCGGCCGCGAAGCCATTAGCAGCGAGTGTATTTGAACAGACGTGCCACATTGCACTTGTTAACGAACGATAATTTTAGCCACCTCTTATGAAAGACCACTCAGTTTAATTTAGACATACTCTGTATTGTTTAGATAATTAATCGAATGTTAACCTCTGAGTTCTGAGTCGTTCCAGTAACTATATCCTCCAGGTGGATCGATCTCGGTTACAGCGGCCAGCTCAACAGAGACTAGACATCAGGATATGATTACAGTAGATGAGTATGTGCACAAACACAGGTGTTCTTTATAACCTATATATTTGAAATCACACAAAATGTATATGCTCATTCAGCCAATCAGTCGCTAACTATTTGTTGGCAACAATTTCTACTCTGTACGACTGTTTGACCACAGATTATTATGTGTTTGATAATAGAAGTATGACGTTTATACTGCCAATGTAAAACACACAATAGTCTGTATATGAACATAAACAAATATTTTATTTCATAAAATATATAATATGTATTTATAACACATATAAATTTTTGCAATCCTTCTCTATATAAACTTTATTAATGCCAAATCTCGGGCTCCACCGGACTGCGCGACCTTGGAGTGCGTTGGTGGAGATATACTTTAAGAGGGGACAAAATTTTCTGTTCACGTATACAGATTAATTATAGTAACAGCCGAGTGCATACTGCAGTGTAGCTCGTCGGAGGCGTCTGGGCAGTGCGCTCGTCCGTCGCAGCGCCAGGCGGCGGGCACGCAGCGCGAGCCGTCCGCGCACGCGAACTGCTCCGCGCCGCACGACCCCGCCCCCACCCCCTCACTATCCGTGCCACCCGCATTGCTCGGGAGACCCTCGCCCGGGACGCCTGCAACAACGACACAAATCAATTTAGGGGTTTTGGCAAAGTTTTTATGTTACCAAGCTTCATATTATGCTGCAAATTTACTACACGAGCTAGACGAGCTCTGTAGTATTAATTTATTTATTTATTAATTCATTTCAATCAACAAGGGTCATAGGGTAAAATAACATTCATTAACATCTATTCTAATACTAAAATTATAAATCATTACTAGTATTAATTATATCAAATGGTATTTATAATAATATCGAAAATAAAATAATAACCTAACAATAATAATAAAATAAATCGATTTCACCTTTACATACACCATATCCGATTTAATTATATATTAACAAAACCACCAACAAAACTTACCTAAATGGTATAGCATAATATTTTTTTGTTACAAATACAAAGAAAAAGTCTTAAATATATGTAAGTAAAATTAGGTAATAAATTAGTTCATATACCTGGGGTGCCTGTCCGAGGTAATGGGAACATGGACATCAACCCAGTGCCTCAAAAAAGTACACTCGGGTTTCTCACTAATTACCCAAAAAAGTACACTCAAAAAAGTACACTCGGGTTTCTCACTAAGAACCCTGTGCATCAGTGACGCAGTTCTTTTGCGAATAAGTGTTGAAAAATTGTCTACGTGGGCGTCAACAAACATACCTGATGCACTACAGTAACGTGGGAGCCCCAGCAAAAATCGTTATAAATTGTGTGTAGGGTGCTGTATGTCCGCCGCGTATATCTGACCCATAAGGCACACGTATAGAGGGATTGGCAATAAGCCTTAAAGTTTCAATGATAAAAATTTCTGTATAACCTACATGTATTCTAAGATAATATTAACTTCTCATTTATTTAAATAAATAATATAAAAGAAAAAAAATTGTTTTTTTATCGGTCACCACGATCAAAAAGTGTAAGAAAAAAACAAAGGAAAAAACTGCATAAATAAAATAAATAAATAATTATAATTGCATAAGTTGATAAAAAATGCTATGCTAGCTTTACCGTGGCAGTCCCCGAGTGCCGCATGTATTTTTCTTCTTGTGATGTCAAATAAAGCATTTCTTTCTTTTTTCTTTCATATTATGGTTCTAGCACGAAAGGATTTGCTTAACCATGGTAGGACCACGCTCTCACATATTACCAGCGTATTACCATAAAATTTCAGCTTAATGATTTGTGTTTCTTATGGTGAGTGTAAAGATTTTAAAAAGTTTAAAATTCTATGAAAATACGATTATAAGAAAACGAACTATTCGAAAATAAGTTATTTAACGGTAAAAATTTATAAAGAAAACTGTAGTTAAGTATGGGGGACAATCAATTTAACTGAATTACAAGAAAATTCAAACAGAAAGGACCAATTTTCAGTCAAGAAATGGATGAATTGGTGGCATTTTTGGCTTGGTTGAGGTAAGTATCGATTTTTTGAGTTCCATGTGTTTTATCTATCAAATTCGAAAGTAGATGGCAGTTAGTACACGATACTGAACCTATAAGTCTAAAAGAAGCGGAGAAATCAAAGATTTTTAAAAGTTTAAAAACTCTATGAAAACGAATTATACAGATATTAGTTATTTAGTGTTGAAATTTTTTTATCATTGAAACTTTTACCTCGGCTGTGCAGCGTGAGAACCGACGAGCCAGCATATTGCAGCAGACAGCCAGCGCCCTCCTTTCCTTTCAATGTCTTTATCATTTTTTAAATCTTCGGTAACAACATGGCCATATGTACTTAAATTCAGTTAGTGGCACTAAAGTTATAGGTGGTACGAAATTTAGTTTCTTCGTGCCCACCTTAAACACCATGAGTTCACTCTTCGCAACATTATATTTTAGACCGTGGGCTTCTGCATAAACCTCACATATGAACAAAAGCCGCCTGAGTGCACTAAATGACGGGCTCAGAAGCACCATATCGTCTGCGTAACTGATGTTGTTCATGCAGAGTCCATCAATAGAGCAGCCGACACGTGCACTCCCGAGTCTATCAATCAGTTCATTTATATATAAATTAAAAAGCGTAGGTGAGGTTAATCCCCCCTTGTCTCACACCGTATTCCAATCTGTACTCGTCCGACAGTGCACTAGACCACCTGATTAATTTGATGATCGTACCGCTAGCTAAAAATACTAATGTACGAGACGGGTAGACCAGCCTTTCGCAATTTATCCCACAGAATGTCATACCTGACAAGGTCGAAAGCCTTTGAAAGATCACAGGACAGGTTACTTAACAACTGCATACGAGTCATCTTTGGCCCGCAAATACGATCACGTATCAGAATTTCGCTCCCAATTAAAGTGGTTGACTATACGCCAGCGCAAAGATTTTCAAATGCTGTCCTCTCTGTTTTCAGTTCTTAGAGATTCTTCCTCACCCCTTTACCTAAAAGAAAAATTCCAATTCCGCAGTGACACTCATTCTCACAAACTCCTATCTTCACACAATTTATTACTGTCTACTCATCTCCATCATTCTGGGTTTATGTCAAATTCTTTCACATTAACTTCCATCTCCCTCTGGAACAAACTGCCTGCTGACCTGCAAATAATACCTGCTAAAAACGTTTTTAAAAGAAAACTATATGAATATATCCATAACCAACAAATTGGAGTCCACTTACTTTAAGTGTTTATAGTTATTTGGTATATATATATATATATGTATATATATATATATATATATATATATATATATATATATATATATATATATATATATATATAGTATGTATGTGTAGCATGTACATTTTCGAATTGAATATCATGACAACTTTACTGTCCATAACTTACTTTGTTTAAAGGTTAGTGGTAGGAATGCTATATGCATTAAGCTCGCCTATTGTACAAAATCTTTGGTGCAATAAAGAATAAAATAAATAAAATAATAAAGATCCAGGAAGGCTGCGTACACTGGCGTATTCCTTACAGTGTAATACCCCACAGTGTGCTTCAGCGACAGTATTGCACACTCAGTTGATAGATTTGGTCTAAAACCAAATTGTGCATCGTTTAACTTAATATGTACTTTTAACTGTCTCTCAAGCATACTGTCAAGTATCTTAGCCGCAGTTGTCGCTAATGAAATGGGCCGATAGTTGCACATATCTGAAATATCTTCGGTTTTTTTTTTTTCAAAATCGGAACTACGACCGTTCTCATCAGCTCTTCCGGCAAATACGAGTGCCTCATACATAGGGCCCAATACATTACGCACTAAGTTACTCCTTTAGTTAAAAATTAGTAGTCAAGCACTGACTTCTTGCATATTTCATAAAGCCGTCACTCCATCTTGTCAAAACAACACTGCGCTTGCCAGTACGCGGCTTTTGAAAGTCATTTGGAAACCTATTTTCCCTCATCGGTTGTCGGTTCCTTTAAGTGGCTCATTGCCACATCATTTCATGTGCGAGTAGTAATATATCATATAGATCGAATATTGATCACGGTGGCTAGTCTCAACGTAGACTAGCTATCTACGCAGTATATGGTTATAGTGCACGAGTGTGTGTGCAGCACAGGTGCACTCTATATTCCCTCACTTTTATACTCCGATGGGACGGTAATCCGATACGACCAGAGAGAGAACACGCGCAGGACCAACGGCTTTTAGTTCTTATCGAGACACAGGAGTAAAGCACCGTCAACTTCCGGACTCCGGGCTGCTATTGAGAATTGACAGAAAAACCCAAAAACTGGTTCTAACCCAACCCGGGATCAAGCCATGATCAGCAATCACGGTTACGAGCACTAGGCCAACGCGACGAGGCAGTCAAATCTCTCCCGCGTATATCCTCTGTATAAACATATAAACACAAAGCCTTTATAAAGTTAATGCCGAGATCGCTCAGACTCCTATAAGCTCTGAACAAAGTTGGGTGCTTATAAAGTTAAAGCAGCAGCCGCCCCGCCGAGCGATCATGGCTGACTAATTAGAGCTGCAAGTAATTATCCGGAGCTTTAAATGCGCTTCAGTTTTGTTTGTGCTTTAGCGCGGCAATTAGCTGAACTTTCAGAATTGCGCAGTCGCTCACTGTTGCGGTAATGACGGAAGTTTGTTTGACTTGTAATTAACGCATAACGATCTTAGTATGTGATTAAAACTACTTTTACGGATTTTATCGTGTTTATTTTTACTTATAATTTCCTTTTATTTTTAATTCCCGACGTTTCGAGCGCTTTCCAGCACCCATGGTCACGGGGGACTGAGATGTTTGACGTCCCAATGTCATAGTTAATCCGGCTACCTTCAGTTTTTGAATATTAATTTTTGGTCCGATTTACGCAAAACGAGCTTATAGTATCATGAAGTCTTGCAGTGGTATGCTTAGGTTTGGGTTTAATTTTGTTAATTATAGGATCCCAAGCAGATGACAGCACCCATCCATCTTCTCTATTGAAATTTGGTTGTTTTTTAATTTCAATAGCCTCGCGTATCATCCTTGGTAGGAATCGGTGTTCTTTTGCGAGAATTTGTGGTTTATCAAAACGAATGTAATGGTGGGGACGATCTTGAACATGTTCGCAGACTGCAGACTTCCCGGAGCGTCGGTGCTTCACGTCAGCTATATGTTCTTTCACGCGGGTTTTAATAGATCTTTTTGTTTGACCTATGTAAGAGAGACCACATTCACAATCTAACTTGTACACTTCTGCATCTTGTAGAGGGATATTACACTTGACGGATGGTAAAAATTGACTAATCTTCTTCGGCGGCTTGTAGTATGTTTTAATAGAAGCTCGCTTCAAGATGTAGCCAACCTTGTCAGTGACTCCTCTGACATATGGTAGTACAGCAGGTACACGCTCGACTGTGGCCGGCTTCTTTCTTTTCTTTTTTTTTTATGCAAATAAGAATTTCTCGACAAAAAAATACATGAATTGATTTTGACCCGATCCGGGATTCGAACCCGGGGCCTAATGATCAGCAACACGAACCGCTACACTAACGACACAGAATTAACACTTACTTGTGTAGTCTAAACAGCAGCTATTTTAAA